ACATACCTGAAGATTCCAAAAGAGGATAAATATATGTTAATATAAGTTAATTTATCACATCATGTACCATGTGATGACAGCATTATATGTAAGAGGAAAGTTCAGAGCCATTTTTAGAACAGTAAAGCAAGATACAAGGCAACAATGACGTGTGGCATGCTCTATTCACTATTTACTTAGGAGATCTAGATGACTACCTAACTCCCTAATTTTGACTGATTATATTTAATAGCTATATTTTTTTATTTGTAATTTTATTAAAAATTAAAATGATAAAAAACCAATACAAACTAAACATAAAAGTTTTCTTTTATTTTTTATTTTCTTTCCAAAATTTTATTTCAAAGCCATCTGGATCTTTACTCTATTTGTAACCTTCCAAAATCAAAGTTCTAATGATTCTTTGGCTGTTTTTCCTAATGCCTTTTTAAAAAATCTTTATACTTATATTTAAAATTTCTTTCATTAAGGATGAAGAGAACTTACTGCGTCTGTCAATCCAAATGTTCCTAATAGCTGAAAAGCAGCTTGTCCGGAGAAGAATTACGAAGAGTCATCTACTCACTGGCTCTATATTCCACTACAGTTGGCTCTGCTTTTAGCTGGTCAGCTATGTCCAATTCAACATTACACTCCTATCCATTCCATTCCCTAGCTCAACTATTTTTCCATTTTGTTATTGTCAGTTGGCAATCCATGTGTACTGCATATGTATAATTATATAAGGTATAATGTCCAATGAGTTGCCCCAGCACAATTCCATAATTTTCCCTAAATACTTTTGTACTTCTGCGATAGTGACTTGTTACCCATCCCTATATTACACCAGTGCCACAGTTTTGTTCATATTAATGAACAAACATGTCTCTCCGTTTCTGATATACAGGCATATATGTGGCTGCATATATGCCTGTATATCAGAAACGGAGAGACATGTTCAAATATATAAAACTTTGAATCGCTTTTCTGCCACATGATGAAAGAGTTTACAATAACATTCAAAGGGTAAATTTAATTCAACGTGTCAAACATTCAAAGGCTTGATGTAGGAGATGAGCTTGAGAGACAAGTCGAACGCATCATCAGTCATGAGTGCCCACAAGAGATCTAAGTTCAGCCCACCTTGAATTCCTCATCTACTGCCAAATTGCTTTGACTGTTAGTTCAGATTCTTATAGAGATCCTAAACTTGCAACAAATCTTTATATCCATTTGAACTGCCTGGATTTCCTAATTTCCCTGGCACTTGACACTTACTGTATAATACAATTTCAGATTCAGAAATATAACCGTAATATCTTGTCTAACATTTTTCTCTTTCATTTCCAACCAGCTATTTCACTTCTTTCTACATAAAGAAGATGGATTCAGGATTAGAATGTACACAGACTAACAGATTGCCATGAGTCCTATATTGCAACTAGACTTTTTTTCATTATACCAATATAAACTCCTAAGCTACCAATTTCAAAAACATTTCAAGATTGTCCATGATCTCTAACCTTCATACTACTCTAATTATTCATTTAGATGTCTAATTTCAGTCTTTTATATTATCTTATATCTTATCTTCTATGCTATAAATGTATAGATGCACTCAAGTAAAAGTGTCACTTATTAAAGAAGAAAAAATGAAAAGTTAAGACAATGTTCTTCAAACTCTGGGAGAAAAAAAGCATATACAAAGAATACATAAACCTGAGCAGTAGAACAAAAGGAAAATAAAATGTAAAGAGCAGTCTAAATGTGCTCTTACTTAACCAAAACCTATATCTTTTATTCAGATCAGTTTATTGTATCTGTACAAAATGATGGTTGTAAAAATCATGGAATGCAAAGGTTCTCCCTCCATAATAATTAAATGAATTTGTTAATTAAAGGTCTATTCTGGCTATTTATTTTGTTTTGTTCCAATTAGTGCCATAGCTAATGAGCGACCTCTTGTGTTAAAGTTTTAAAACTATGCTTTCAATAACCATATTAACAATAAAAAAAGGCAACAGGCTGAAATCAACAACTTTGCAACTTGTTAGTACTGAATCTAAATTACGTAAACTAATTTGACCTTTTGCTCAGATCTGATTATTCATCACCTGTGAAAATATCTCCAATTTCATGACACTACAGTTCTCAATAGTAAATGTTTGCTGCTATTCCAAATCTATCTTCTCACTATTCTTGGGTTGCTCCTACAGCATTGGCAAGAAACATTTTATTTCCTCCTTAACTGAAGCCATTTTTTTTAAAAAAAAGGATGTATTGGTGAAAATAGCTACAAATATAAGATTATGTTGTCTGGACCCATTCCAAGAAATTCAGGGGGGAAAAAAAGAAGGAAAACAAGATGATCAAACATTGCCTAGTAGCATATATTACGCATTTCCTAAATTTGTGGCCAACAACACATATATAATCTGTGTTTAACCTTTGATTTTCAAGAATTATAAGTTTCTATACCCAGTTTACCCTAAAGGCTATGAATGCATCTTCTATTTTGACCCTAACTTGAGCAAAAAATGAAAATTATATCCCCAACAATGTATAGAAATATTTGTCATTTTTTTCATTGTGTTCAGGGGTGTAATTTTTTTCTGCATTATCATCTCAATGCCATGGAGCTCCGCAAAACCAACTTGGACCATGAACAAATCAGCTGAAGGTAAAATAAGCAATTTGATGGGGGACGGGGAGGTAACTTTCCATTGCAGCAAATATTTCTAAACAATTGTGAATTGGATTTATTTAGCCCTAAGATTGCTTTAGCCTTCCATCCTTTCTAAGGTAGGTGAAATGAGGACCCAGTTTGTGGGGGCAATAAGCTGACTTTGTATAAAACATACAAAAGAATGAAGGCTATTGCTTAACGCATTGTAAGCCGCCCTGAGTCTCCGGAGAAGGGCGGCATATAAATCAAATTATCTGGGAGGAGTTTGATGCTGTGACTCCTGATGATGTGGACAGGATTTTGGGGAGACTTAGTGCGGCCACATGTTTACTGGACCCGTGTCCCTCCTGGTTGGTACTGGCTTCCCGGGAGGTTACACGAGGCTGGCTCCAGGGTGTTATCAACGCTTCGTTGAGTGAGGGTTACTTCCCCACCGCCTTGAAAGAGGCGGTGGTGAGGCCTCTCCTCAAGAAGCCGTCCCTGGATCCGGCAATATTGGCCAACTATCGTCCTGTCTCCAACCTTCGCTTTATGGCGAAGGTTGTTGAGAGTGTGGTCGCACGACAGTTTCCGCAATTCCTGGAGGAAACATCTTATCTAGATCCGTTCCAGTCGGGTTTCAGGTCTGGGCACAGCACAGAAACGGCATTGGTCGCGTTGGTTGATGATCTCTGGAGGGCTCGGGACAGGGGTTGTTCCTCTGTTCTGGTCCTGTTAGACCTCTCAGCGGCTTTTGATACCATCGACCATGGTATCATGCTGCACCGGCTGGAAGAGTTGGGGGTGGGAGGCACCGTGTTGCGGTGGTTCTCCTCCTTTCTCTCCGACCGGTCGCAGTTTGTGTTGGCAGGGGGGCAGAGGTCGACCTCGAGGCCTCTCATTTGTGGAGTGCCGCAGGGATCGGTCCTCTCGCCCCTTCTGTTCAACATTTATGTGAAGCCGCTGGGTGAGATCATCCGTGGCTTTGGGGTGAGATACCACCAGTACGCTGATGACACCCAGCTGTACATCTCCACCCCAGGCCACCCCAACGATGCCCTTGAAGTGATGTCCCAGTGCCTGGAGGCTGTACGGGTCTGGATGGGGAGGAACAGGCTCAAGCTCAACCCTTCCAAGACTGAGTGGCTGTGGCTCCCGGCATCCCGATATAGTCAGTTGACTCCATCACTGACTATTGGGGGCGAGTCATTGGCCCCCACAGAGAGGGCTCGCAATCTGGGAGTCCTCCTGGATATGCAGCTGTCCTTGGAGGAACATCTGACGGCTGTAACCAGGGGGACCTTTTGTCAGGTTCGCCTGATTCGCCAGTTGCGGCCCTTTCTTGATCGGGATTCCCTGTGCACAGTCACTCACGCCCTCGTCACCTCTCGCCTTGACTATTGCAACGCTCTCTACATGGGGCTCCCCTTGAGGAGCACCCGGAGGCTCCAGCTGGTCCAGAACGCAGCAGCGCGGGTAGTGACGGGAGCAGCATGGCGCTCCCATGTAACACCGCTCCTGCGCGAGCTGCACTGGCTCCCAGTTGTCTTCCGGGTGCGCTTCAAGGTGTTGGTTATCACCTTTAAAGCGCTCCATGGCATAGGGCCTAGCTATCTTCGAGACCGCCTGCTGCTACCAACGACCTCCCATCGACCCGTGCGCTCCCACAGAGAGGGCCTCCTCGGGGTGCCATCAGCCAGACAATGTAGGCTGGTGACCCCCAGGGGGAGAGCCTTCTCTGTGGGGGCACCTACCCTCTGGAATCAGCTCCCCCCAGAGATAAGGAGAATCCAAGACCTCAGTGCCTTCCGTCGCGCCCTTAAAACCCATTTATTTAAACAAGCCGGGCTGGCTTAAGATGAAATTTTTAACTGTTTTTAAATGTTTTAAACGTTTTTAATTGGTAAATGAGTTTTAATTGGGCCAAATTTATATATCTTTTAATTGTTTTTAATATTTGTTCTGCATGTTTTTTTTAATTTGGCTGTACACCGCCCTGAGTCCTTAGGGAGAAGGGCGGTATAGAAATCCAATATAAAATAAAAATAAAAAAAATAAATTAAAAAAAAAAAAAAAAGCTCTCAGTAAATGTACATGATCAATGTTCTTTCAAGGATCATATTTCTTTTCCATTAAAGAACATTACCTAAAATTTTCAAAAACTAAACATACACAAACATATATAAAAATAAGCATTTTTGCAAGAGTAAGGAACATAAAATATTTTAATTTCATCTGCCCAATAGATGTCACTCTTGTCTTTGAGATAACCATGCAGAGATTATGGCAGGGCTCCTTATTGAAAAGTAAAACCAGATTTTGATTATCAGAAGCAGCAATTTTATAAATTTATTACCTTGTTATGCGTAAACATTATCCTGAGTTCTGGTTTTATAATGCCATAGGCCATCAACATCTTCTGAGTTTTTTTAATTTCTTCCTTACATTTCTTATCTGTAGAATAAAACTGTTTTCTTACAGGCAGATTCTTGAACAGCTTTTGAACTGTTACAGTTGTCCCTACCAAGAAGAGCAACGGAGAAGAAAAGCAAAGAAAATTAACTTATAGAGACGCTCTTTTGCTTCTATTAATATATCCTTTCATTCTTTTAAACTGTTAAGTGCCTTTAATGACAGCATCCCACAGACTTTGACCTTGGCTGCTTCAATCAGTTCTGATGATAATTTGTCCTTTTAGCTCTTTAAATTGAGACATATTGACGTAGTTGTTGTCAAGGTATACCAAAATGAGCCATGCTAGTGAAGTGATTAGAATACAGTATTGCACAGGCTAACTCTGCTCACTGTCAGGAGTTCGAACCTGACTGGCTCAAGCCTTCCATCCATCCGAGGTCAGTAAATTGAGGACCCAGATTGTTGGGGGCAATATGCTGACTCTGTAAACCACTTAGAAAGTGCTGTAAAATACTATGAAGTCTAAATGCTATTGCTATTGCTAAAAGCTGTATTATATCAGCAAAAAGTAATATGTAAGTAAGCAGAGATTCTCAAATTTTGCAATCCATGAGTCACTAAAATTTCAAAGAAGACTGACCCTTTTCATCCCTTTGATGCCGTAAATTCTGAGATTTTTTTTATTTATATGCCGAGTCTCTGGAGACTCCGGGCGGCTTACAAGGCGTTAAGCAATAGCCTTCATACTTTTGTATATTCTATACAGCCAGCTTATTGCCCCCACAAACTGGGTCCTCATTTTACCTACCTTAGAAAGGATGGAAGGCTGAGTCAACCTTGAGCCTGGTGAGAATTGAACTCGCAGTAATTGCAGGCAGCTGGAAGCTAAATACTACCTTTTCCCTAACTAAGGTTAAATTTAAGCCCTTCAAGAAATGCAGTGGTTCTGAAATGTAAAACTTCTGGATAGGGGAAAACAATCTAACATCTTCTATTTTGAGCTGTGTGGTATTTCTTGGTAATAAAAAGTTAGAAAATTTGGTCCTACTTGTTTATTCAGAGAACTGAAAATATAAGAAGAAATAGTTGGATATTGTTCTTAAATGTGGATCATGAAAGCATGAATACTGAACAATTAGACTAAATCAATCTTGAGATCTCTTCCAACTCTACAATTTTGATTCCTACTTAAAATAATCATTTTCGTTGCATAGTTGATCAGGTTTATCTGAGAGTATATGTGACTGAAACAATCAGAACTTGGGCACACCTGGCCTTTTGCTATAGTTTTCCTTGTGCTGAATTTTTCATTGCAGAATCTCTCATGTCTAGAACCAATTTTATATTTTATGAAGTTATACATATTGAATGTATATGAGTACACTTCATGAGTAAAATCTCAATTCGGTGTACGTTTTATTTTTCATGTCTGACTCATCTAGTCTTGTTATTTTGAAAATCACAATTTTAATTATCAGTTTAAATTTTAAAATATTATCCAACTGTTGCTCTGTTATCTGAAGAAGAAAAATCACAGGTACTCATGGCCTTGAATGAATGATCTAAAGATAGAGAGTTGTATAAAGGGTCTAAAAGCCATACCTGTTCCAAGATGAGATGGCTTCTGAGAAATTATATGACCGCTTGTATCAAAATTGTACTGGGTGCTAAAATCATCAGCAGCTGTCCTTGTTGTAATAGAAACCTAACAATAAAGAATTTAATGTCAAGTAAACAATTAGGAAAAGATATATGTACCTATGTAATTCACACAAACCATGATGAAGATAATTAATTATTATTTATTAAACTTGTACAAATCTCAATAATTCTTTGCGACAATATCATGATAATCAATAATGATAGTTCCTAGAAACGTAAAAATCATTCAGAGAAGGCATTCTTGACAGATACATCTGCACATGTAAACAACCTGGAAAGGGCTTTGACACAGCATCACTTGATCTTTAGGAGAAAATAATACTTTGATGTTGCAAGGTATTACCACAAGTCAAATAATCCTCAAATCCCACAGATCTAATTGTTTTATGAGTCTTCTAGGAGCAGAAGCAATATGTTTCTAAATACCAACTTATAGAGTGTCAGTAATGATTATTTATCTTATATTATTTATCTTATAAGAAATACAGTTTTCTGCCTCTGAATCAAGATCTTTTAATATTCCTCTTGGATCTGTACTGTGCTTCCGTTTATATACAAATGTGTTGCTAGATGGTTATGCAGATTATAAATGTAAAAAACATTTTTATGTTGTCATACTTAAATGTACAATTCCATTTTTGTGCACTGTATTGTGTTTTGTTCATCTCAAATTTCAGGATGCCTTTGAAAATGAAGGGAATTGTAACATTGAAAACTACTCTGAAAACCTGACATACGAAAGAGCATTCACAGCCTGTCCAAATACACCTAAAGTCAACAAGCAAAAAAAAAAAAGTGTGTATTTTCCAAAGAAAATATCTATCTTGGCTTGGTTGAATGCTTGAGTACACGGCTCAGCCAGAGCCTCCATATTTATTTAAAGAAGCCAACTTTCTATGTTGTGCTTAGCTTGCTAAGCATTTGGTGTTTACTAGACTCTGCTGATGCCAATCCATCCTATCTTTGTGGATTTGTGGAATTTTAAGAGTGGAGGGAGTAATAAAAATTTTTATGTTGATCTCATTTGGTTTGTTAAAACATTGGCACAAATGCACTTTGCCTATGATCATGTGCCCTGTTGATTCAGTTCATGATGCAGTTGCTATTTATCCATATTATTATTCTTTCCTCTTTGTGTATTAATTTGTTTGGCTTGTTTGCTGTTGACTTTTGTCTCTTTTGTCCCACTGGCCCTTTAAATACTGTACTTTTTTTTTTTGATTAAGCAAAGATTATTCCTTTCTGTTCTTTGATGAATTTTTTAAGATGGAAATACAAGTAGGGCATAATTGGCGTGAACAGAGCTGCTTTTTTCTTATTTCACTAAGGTTCAGCAAGACTCATGCAGCAGCTATGTGCAAACTGCTTTTGTTTTGGCAAGCATTCATCAAAGTACCCGTACTCCCCCCGAAAAAATGTTGAGTTGTAGAAAAATGGATAAGAAAAAACAGAAGGAAGGAAAGAAGGAAGGAAGGACCAGTATATCCTGTGTATTGGGATTTTGTTCTTCCTTGAATTTCAGACAACCTATCCTGAAAATAACTGAAAAAATTATGGTAGATAAGCTGTGTGTTCTTTATAAAAAAATGACAAGTTTATTTCATATTTTCTCAATTAGCATCTTATCATTGCAGTCAGAATTCAGCAATGTCTTCTTCTTAGGTTTCTACTTAACCGTTGGGCAAAACCTGTATCTTCTTCATAAATTTACATTGCCCCCCAACACCCCGCCCCCAAAGGTTAGGAACATGGCATCAATAACGGGAGTTAAAACAGCCAAGATAGAAATATAAGTGTCTGCTCAAAATTCCTCCTTTTCATACATGTGTTGACTTGAGGGCAGGACTGTGACCATTATCTTGTCATTTTTGAAACCCTCTACAGATACACTATGCAGACACCGTACTTAGAAAGAAGTGGGACTGTACCAGTGATGGGTTTCTACCGCCACTGAACTGGTACCGGCAGCGGGAGACTCCGCCCAACCGCCCGGACGTCATCATGGACACATGCGCAGAAGTGTCACGTGCTCGCATTCACAGTTCAGAACTGTAGTGAAGGTAAATGAAGCCCTGGACTGTACATGGAAACCCCAGCAGATACACTCTCCCAATAGGCTATCTGTATTTTGGATACCTTAAAATCAAATGGATTAATGTTTCATTTTTGTAGAATTACAGAATTTAGATGCCAAAACAGACACAAAAGCTGGTAACTATATTAACCTTTTACCTGTGATATGCTACAAATAGAGCCCAGAGCTTCGCCACGAAAACCATATGTGCTCAAGCTTTCAAGGTCCTCAGAAGAGCTTATTTTTGATGTGTAGTGCTTCATTGCCATCACAGGAACATCAACTGCCTTAATCCCATCACCATTATCTCGTACTTCAATCTTTTCAAAACCATAGTTCTCCTACATAAAGAAGACATTTATTAATTTCAAGCGACATAGAACATTTTATGGAGTTGTTTGATTCCAAGAACACCTTTATAGAAAGTGCAACTACCAATTAATAAGGGACAATTCAGTTTTCTGGAACTCTATCATCAATATTTATTGTCAAGTATTAAATACTTGAGGCCAACAATTGATGTCAATTTTTTACCCATTTATCACTTTGGTTGGATAGACAAGTTTTAGGATCGAAATATAATAGAACTCTAGTATCTCTGGGAGTAATTATATTGGTTAGAAAAATATGGAATGTAATAGCTCAGTAACAGCTCCATGGTGAGATAGGTGCAAATAAATTTAAGAAATAAAAATAAGTATCTAATAAAAACAGATTTGATTCTTTTTTTTCCATGCTCCATTGACTTCATGGAGAAAATGTGCTGGACAGATTCATGGAAACAACTTCAAGAGGAAGGAGTGCCATTCCAGCTTTAATTCAGAGTGTCAATGGCTTGAACCCGCACCATCTTACATAGAAAAGCCTTGCATGTACAATATGTGGGATCATGCTCTAATCTTTTTAAAATTGTGGACAGGATTCTTGAGGATGGAGTATTCAATAATTTGTTTGAAGTTATTGAAGGAAACAATACAGAATTACTGAATTGGCATAGTACATCTGCTTAATTCTAGATGCTGCTGTATTTCGATCCAAAGTGGGCAAAGTTCAGCATGGACAACCACATTGTGTTTGTCAAGAGTCATTATGAAGATGGTAATGGCAGATCCTTTCTTGCTGCACTATTGCCACCTCCTTCATTCAAAAAACTACTTTAAGGGCTGATGTAGTTATTATGTGAATGCAGGAAAAGATGTGTCTCCTTTAAGGAGTTGTTAAGTACAATGAAGATGCCCATGGGTGATCAAAAACACCTGTCTACTTCAGACACAAATATTGCACACATGTAGTTTATTCAAATACCCGACCATGGAATTCTTTAATTTGTATATATTATACTCACACCTAAACCACACTATGTTTATTGAAGTTAATTTGAATCCCAGATGCAATTTCTGGTTGACAAACAGACTACAATGCCAAAATCAATTAAATGCTTGTCCTGCACCCCTCATCCATGACTGCAAACAAAAATAGAAACTATCAGCTCACGGTATATCCTTAAAGATTGTTAAGGTTATAAAACTTTCAGAAATCCTCTTTAGTCTGAATTACCAGCTCCTAAATATTCTATATAAATTAAACCTGATTGTATATATTGTTCAAAATAAAAAACAAAGTAACACAGTAAACCTTCTGTTCGTTAGTCACCTAGAAGTTCAAAATCCATCTTTTCTTACTTTCATTTGCATTCTACCTCAGTGTTTATACCACAAATCAATCTCATGTGTAAATACAACACACAAGTAAGATGAGAAGATGGATATTTATAAATTAATTAATAAATACATGTGAGTTAGACAGCATCAGAAAAATGTGGGTTAGACAGCATCAGCACATGGATTCGTAACTGGTTGACCAACTGCACTCAACCTGAAGTCCGCAATGGAACTGCATCTACATGGAGGGAAGTATGCAGTGGAGTACCCCAAGGCTCTGTTTTAGGCTCAGTACTCTTCAACATCTTCATCAATGACTTGGATGAGGGGATAGATGGGGAACTCATCAAATTTGCAGATAACACCAAGCTGGCAGGAATAGCCAACACTCCTGAAGATAGGCTTAAGATACAGAAGGATCTTGACAGACTTGAACATTGGGCGCTATCTAACAAAATGAAATTCAATGGTGAAAAAAGTAAGGTTCTACATTTAGGCAAGAAAAACAAAATGCACAGGTACCGTATATGTGGTACCTTGCTCAATAGTAGTAACTGTGAGAGGGATCTTGGAGTCCTAGTGGACAACCATTTAAATATATGCCAGCTGTGTGCAGCAGCTGCCAAAAATGCCAACACAGTCCTAGGCTGCATAAACAGAGGGATAGAATCAAGATCACATGAAGTGTTAATACCACTTTATAATGCCTTGGCCACACTGGGAATGCTGCATTCAGTTTTGGTCACCACAATGTAAAAAAGATGTTGATGATTAGGGGACTGAAGGATAAAACATATGAAGAACGGTTGGGTATGTCTTGCGTAACGAAAAGAAGGACTAGGGGTGACATGACAGTAGTGTTCCAATATCTCAGGGGCTGCCACAAAGAAGAGGGAGTCAAGCTATTCTCCAAAGCAACTGATGGTAGGACAAGAAGCAATGGGTGGAAACTAATCAAGGAGAGAAGCAACTTAGAACTAAGGAGAAATTTCCTGACAATTAGAACAATTAATCAGTGGAACAACTGAACTTCCACTGAAGTTGTAAATGCTACAAAACTAGAAGTTTTTAAGAAGATGTTGGATAACCATTTGTCTGAAGTGGTGTAGGGCTTCTTGCCTAAGCAGGGGGTTGGACTAAAAGACCTCCAAGGTCCCTTCCAACTCCGTTATTCTATTCTATTCTATTCTATTCTATTCTATTCTATTCTATTCTATTCTATTCTATTCTATTCTATTCTATTCTATTCTATTCTAGCATTTCCTTTGTTGCTCTTTTTGGAAGGAACTACTCCCTTGACCTATATTTAGACTCTAAATCCTACTGAAGTTCATGGAAATAACTGCCTTATAAATAACTAGACAGACAGACAGCACTCATAATATGTCTTTTAGAAAGATGGAGTCTCAGACTTCGTTTCAGTATAGCTGGAGGTCCTGAATTAGAATTGAGCAAATTTAGGTTCAACTCCAGCCTCTGTTCTGAAAAATCACTGGACCTGACATGACTTCTCTCAAGCCAAGCTACTTCACAAAGTTGTTATTGTGGGAAGAAACCTGGAAAGGGGTGTGTGTGTGCGAATGCTACTCAATGCTGTACTATCCTTCTAGAGGGAAAGTGAACTGCATATCAAAATAATAATCATAAACTACTCTGTAAATGACTTCTTTTCAAATTACAATTATCATAATTCTATTACCGTATGCAATATTTTTAAACAAAAGAATTACTGCCTCTTAGTTCTGTTAAGTCAAATTGAGGAAAATGAATATTGTAAAAATATTTGTAAAATGCATTATTTATTTATGTATATTTCATATTTCTACTGCTCCCATCTCCCTCTGAAATCAACCTTTTTTTTTCTTTTGCAGTTACAAAAGTCTTCAATTAAGAGTATTTAACTGAAGCAAGTCCTAAAAAATTAATGTGTTTCTGTATAGGTCATGTAGAAACATTGAAGAAATATTTTCAATCAAGGCTATTTTCTGTCATTTTGATTAAATACTTATTCCCAGATATTAAAAATAGAAGAATAAAAAAAAAGAAGATTAAAAATAATCTTCTAAATCAAAAAGAATAAACAATGAATTAAGTTAATTTTTCTACACGAAAAGTAATATTTAACTATATGATTATTACAGCGGTGAAATCCACTTACCTTCACTACCGGTTCGCAGAGGGTAAAAAACGGGACGTAATGTCCCAGCGGGTGGGCGGAACCTCCTGCTGCCAACCGCTACCAGTTCATGCAACCCGGATAGATTCAGCAGGATTTCATTGCTGGATTATTACCAATAGAAGATAATATTTATAGCTAAGGGTTGAACTATGGCGTAATTGGTACTCTTTGAGCTTGGTTGTTTTCTTGCAGACATTTCATTGCCAAACTAGGTCATGTTTTCTTGCAGATGTTTCATTACAAAACTAGATAACATCAGATGTTACCATCAGATGTATATGTTGCTCATCTCTGAGGCTGATGTTTACTTTTTGTTTACTTAGGATGTTATGGAATGCTTTAGTTAGTTTGTGTACTATGGTTATAGTTTTATAGGTAGTTTCTGAGATGTTTTTAATACACGGCAGCTTATGCTGGTTGGGCTGTAGTGGTTGAGACATGTCCAGCTGCCCTGTATCTACCTGTTCTGCCCCAGCTACGGACCCCAAAGAACGCAGCACACACAAAGTCCATTCAAACCTTAGTTTACTGAATAAACCAGTCTTTTACAATGACAGCTGTTAATTAATTGCATTAACAGCCGCCAAGAATTCAAAGAATAATAACTGAAAGCTTACTATGGTTGGCAGAATGCCCAGAAGCAATTTGCAGGAAGCTGATAAGATAAGCAAGACAAGACACGAAGGTATGTGAACTAAGTTGTTCCCTGCAAATTGCTTGTCGGCGTTCCTCCTTAAATAGGCTAAGGGAGTGGCCAATTAGCCCCAAGCCTTACTCTCAAGGAGACCTCCTCCTGAGGAGCCACTCCTGCATTTTGGCAGCTCTATGTGTCCGTGCATCGAGAAGAGGCTCCTCCTCTTTGTCCTCTTCACTTAAGGGAGCTTCTGGAGGTTCTGAAGGCCCTGGCTGAATCCCCGCCTCTGGCACCACATCTTCTCCAGCCTCTTCATTGTCCAACTCAAGTGCCAGCTGCACAGGCTGCTGGCACAGCACCACACCAGCTTCCTCGCTGTCTGAATCAGCTACTAGCTGCACAGACCGCGCACGGGTCACAACATTACCACAGAACATAATATTCTACAGAAAAGCCTCAACTACAACGCAGATGATGCTAATAAATTAGAATTCTATAGGGACTTAGAAGGAGCATTTAAAATCAAAGGATGTTCCACAGAGATCCAAGACAGCATAAGACAAACCATCATAGATCAGAAGAAGATGAGAACAGAATCAACTCAAAGCAGAGGAAACAGCAGTCCTCAAAAACCTAAAGAAAGGCTAAACTATCATTATCCTGTCAGCAGACAAAGGCTGAACCATGATTATCATGGACAGATCACAATGTATACAAAAAAACAGACACTTACATCCAGTGAACAACAATCCAGAACAAAAACTAGACAACCAGATCAAGGGAACTCTTAGTGACTTACTCAAAAAGAAGAAATCACAAAAGGAGAACAGTGGTTTATGAAAAGCAGTGGACCTGTCCTTCTGTGCTTCTATGGATGCCTCAAAATACAGAAGCCGCATGTACTTCTCTACCCAATTGTATCATTATCAGGATCCCCAAACTGCAATATTACTAAACTGACAAAAAAGCTTAGACTTCTCACAGAGGGAGACAAATACACCATCAACTCCCCACTACAGTGCTTCCAAGAATCAAAAATCTGACAACAGATGAAGATGAAATCATGGTCTCATTCAATGTCACAATACTCTTTTTATTCAGAGATTTGGAATTAGCAAAATAATCCATGGAGCACTACTTACATAGCACACCCGACCTAAATAAATACACCAAGATTGAAATTCCCAAACCATGGACTTCATCAACTCTGCTTGACTACATACTTTCAGTCTGACGGACAAATATGCCAACAAATTACCCATGGGGTCACTGCTTTCATGATTCACAGCAGAGATTGTAAGCAACTCCTACAATCCATATACAGTAGCATCATCATCTTGTGCAAAGCCCATAGGGCAGCAAGCTTCTTCCAATGAAGAATAAAAACCTAGTGCCTTTGGTGGGCACTAGGTGGATTGAGTAGCTCAGCAGCTGCCATTGCCAGTCCCAAGCCAGATAAAGGAGGAGGAGGGTTAGGCGTAAGGCTAGCAACCCTACCCTGTAAAAACTTGACCGCTACTGAAATAACAAGTAGAAACCAAATCTGTATAGCACATTTCCACATATAACCTAAAGTATGGACCTGATATGTAAATGATATCTTTGTCATAATAAAAAAAAGAATCAACCAGGATGGAAACATGAAACTATCAATATCTCAGAAACTTACCAACAGACTATTACAATCACGTGACATCATTGTAGCACACAAGCCAACTAAAGCCCTCCATAACCAAATGACCTCAGGACAAAAACCAGGAATCATCTACAATAAACAGTGCAAGAACTAAAATAGCCACTATGTAGGACAAACAAGCAGAAGACCACCAAAGCACATCCATGAATACCAACTAGCAGTCAGAAGACACGATGAAAACTCCTTAATTTCACAATATGTGGATAGACTTAACCATTAACTGGGAAACTGTGAGCATTCTAGACCAAGCCAAGTCCAAAAACACTAGAGAATTTCTGAAAACGTGGCACTTGGACAAATCAGTCATCAAAAGCCACATAGAGGTAAATATCTACATACCATTCAAAAGAGATAATCAAAAAGCCAAAAAGGATGGAAAAAAAAAAATCAAAACATTCATCACCAGCAATCAATCCTCAAATAAACAGAGATTATTACCAAAATTAACACTAGACCAACAATCAAGAAGTAAACAATCCTCAATAAAGGAACTACAACTCAGACAAACAAGCTAACACTAAACAACAGTCTAATCAAGAACACTCTCACCAATACTGAAAGGGCAAAATCACTAATATATATAAAGAAAGCAAACTCCCTTCTAGGACTGTTGCCTAGTTGCCCGTTATCTAGTTTGGTGATGAAATGTCTGCAAGAAAACAACTAAGTTGAAAGAGCACCAATAATCCCACACTATGATTATGTACTCTTTAAAATGAAACATGATATCAATAGGAAGTCCCACATAATTATATGTTTTAAAATCAAGAATATACAGTATTTGTTAAAACTAGTATTTCCCAAACTGCTAGATCAGGGGTGTCAAACTCAAGGCCCGTGGCCACATCCAGCTCACGGGGTGCTTAGATCTGGCCCATGGGGCCGCCCTGGTAACAGTAAAGGATCAGGCTGCGGTGCCTCTGTGAGTGAAAATGGAGCTGGGGAGGGTTGCATGCATTTTAAGTCAGTTTTATTTTTCAAGGAAATATGGTCTTCTCACCCATACTTTCATCCAGCGGTGAGTTCTACTTACCTCTGCTATCGGTTCGCAATGGGAGCGCATGCGCGCAGATCATTCATAATGACGTCCGGGCGGAGCCTCCCGCCACCATTACTAAAAGTTCGCAAGAACCGGACTGAACTGGGAGCTTTCAACCCACCACTGCTTTCAACCCAATTTTAGTCTTTAAAAAACTTACCAACTTAACATCAATACTGGTTGCATTAGCGTCCAAAGAATTCTCTACCAGTTCTTTAACCACACTGACAACTGATACAATGACCTGCGAACTAGAAAGAAGTCGAACAGTTTCTGCTGGTAGCTGTTTCATGTTTTGGCTTTCAGGAACGGGATTTCTAAAAAAGATAAAATCACAATTTAAAGAGTATGATACTGTCTTTTTAATTGTTCTCTTCTGTACAGAGATAAAGAGTTGACAGTAAAAGAATAGTGTTATGTCAAATTACTGAGCAATAATTTGGTGCATTTTGCTGCCATTTTGATGAAACCTTTCACATATACTTTCATCTGGAATTTATATGAACAGTTTGAGGTACCTGACACAGCATCTTGCCATGTTATCTCAAGACTCATTTCAGGTTTTTCATTCTGAGAAAGTGGATAGGACGATGATGGAAGGACTTCTGCTACATGTAGTTTACACCTGTATCCTCCCTGGTTGTTTCTGCAAGCATGTGTCTGTGTGAGAGGGGCTGAATTTAGGAGGTGGTCAGCATCTCTTTGAGAAAAAGGAGGTTCCTACTTCTGCCTTGCAAGAGGCAGTGGTGAGCGTCCTCCTGAAGAGCCCTCCTTGGATTTAGCCAATTTAGAAACTTTCACCTGGTTTCCAACATTCTCACTGTAGGAAGGGTGTTAAGTGGCAAGACTGCAACTGCAGCATTCCTTAGTGTGGTTCATGTAGATCCTTTTAGTCAGGGTTCAGGCTTGAGATATAGATGGAAATACACAGGTGACTGTGGTGTATGACCTTCATCAAGACTTGGATGGGGGAGTCCATTCCTCCTGGACCTTTTAAATAACATGCTGGTTTTCAGTATCTTTGACCATGTTGTCCTGCTGGACCAACTTTATGAATTGGGAGAAAAAGACACTGTTATGTCCACAGAGTGCTGCAAATTTTTCAATCCTCCTCCCTGTTATTCAGCATCATTCTACAGGAAGCACTTGGAGGAATGACCTAATCATTTTAGGATGAGGCATGATCTAATATCCAATTACACAACTCTGTCCCAGCCAAAACTGGGGATGCAGAAGCGCTGGCCAGGTTTCTGTAAGATTAAAGAATGTAAATGAGAAGAAACAAGTTGAGACTGAATCTCTGCAATATATACATATTGCTTATCTGGAAACCAGCTAATGTTTTGCCTCTCCAACGGAGGGAATTACCTGCCTTGAAGGAGATGGGAATCTTTCTAACCCATAACTATAGGTAGAGTGGAAACTATGGTTACTTGCGGCATCTATCCAGTTTTGGTTGGTTTGCTTATTACATTTCTCTTCCAGGAGTTAACCATGTTCTCACAAACTCTCAAATTAATGTCAATATGTTCTATTTGAAACTGCTTCAGATGGTGTAGAATGCAGACACCTGATAGGTGTGTCACTGGTGCTATCTAACATTGTTGGTATGAGTTGCCTAGGCTTCCACATAGAAATAAAAGTGCTGGTTTTAACTTGGACTTTTTATGGCTTGGCACCTAGATAATGCAAAACTGCTTCATTTTAGGTAGCACCTCCATCTCTTCAGTCTACAAGAATATGACCATTTTCTGTGTATGCTCCATAACTATAGAGCACTCTATCCCTGGAGCTGCAGATATACCCTATTTAGCAGTATTTTAATCAGAATGCAATTTTTGCATTTACACAACTTTAATTATTATTTAAAGAGTTGATTGCTTATATGGGTGGTAATTATATTTGTTTTACATTTTAGATTTTTGCATAAAGATAAATGCAAGTCTAGACCAGGGGTGAAATGTAAAATTTGTTACTACCGGTTCTGTGGGCGTGGCTTGGTGGGGGAGGTAATGTGACTGGGTGAGAGTGGCCAACTTTTTTTTTTTAACTTTTCAAAGCATTTTTTCTAATGCTTTGAAAAGCCTCTCTGCCTATCAGGGAACTCAGCTGGGATCATCAGAGGCTCTTTAAAAAATGCCTCTCTGCCGATCAGGGAACTCAGTTGGGATTGTCAGAGACTTTTCGAAGAATTTTTTTTACCAGCTCTTCGGCCAAGAAGTTGCAGAAAAAAATGCTTTGAAAAGCCTCTGATGATCGTGCGGCTCAGCTGGGCATGGGGGGGGGGAGGCGCGCAGTGATTTTTGCTACCGGTTCTCCGAACCACCTGCCGCCATCGCTACCGTCGGAACCGGGAGCATTTCACCCCGGTCTAGACCAAATCAACAAAAGCATAATTTTGAAATTACAGCAAGTAACTGTTCATTTACTTTCATTACACTCAACTTCAACTATATTTAGTTTAATTTAAGAAGGATTTCCAGAAACTGGAAAAGATCCACAGCCAAGCCAACAAGAACGCTCAGGGATTAGAAATTAAATTGTATGAAGACAGACTAAAGAAATTAGTTTAGCCTTGAAAAAAAATTGGAGGATATTGCAGCACTCTTTAAATATCTGAAATATATCCTCTTAGAAGAAGATCAAGACTTATTCTCTCACAGTTTCGGATTTTTTCATTGGCTTCCCATAATTGAAATCCAGTATTATTAATTTAAATTAATCCAGAAATTAACTTAAGTGTAGATAACATCTAATGAAAACTTATCTATAAGTTAAAGCAGCACAACTGTGCAACTATTGTCTTTCAAATTTTTCTTTCAGAAGTCTGAAAACTTCATATGCTCCTCATTACAGAAAGAAAACTATGCTCTTACATAATATATGGGTTATCTTCAAAGGCATTACTTTAGCTTTTAAAGAGAAGGTATGGTAGAGGCTTAGAAGAATGTTGCAAAAAGTATTCTTAAGAGTGTAGTAAAATGCCTTGTTTTAGTATCTATTATTCAAAAGTTTACCTTTAATGCTAAACCATAGTTCAGCATTTTAAGAACAACCTACTTAGGCTCATGTTCACATGGAGCAGCTGGCCTTCTTTGGACTAGTCTGCCTAGCTGGTAATGGTAGAAGTTGCCCCATTTGCAAACCATTCACAGGAACTGAAATTCCCCTCCTGGTGTTCTCCAGACACTGCTCATGTACAGCAGCGTAATATAGAGCTTGCAACAAGCAGCATGCAGGCACTTGTGGGATCCTGACCTACAAACAAGAACCCCTCCAAGCTCTGGAAAGAATGGAGAAAGGTAAAGAAAACTGCTTGTGCCATATGGCATGAGAAGAGTGACTTCCTCCCTTGGCAGTTAAGCAAACTGTGTGAAGAAGCTGAGGGGAATATCGAGATCGGGTTGACCAGCAAGACTTGCCACAATCAAAGAGAAGGAACAAATGTAGATAATTATATATTGGGGAATGTATAGAAAGAGCAGAAGGAAGAGTTCCATGAGGAAAAGGATGATTATAGGAACTGAATCTCTCCATACCCTGCAATTCCCTTAAACTCAGTATCTCATTATTTCCAATTTTGTTTTTATGCCAGATTATGTTCTTTGAATCCAAGTACTGATTTGAAGGCTTTAATCCAGATCTGGTATTTTCTGTGTGCAACACACTGCTGATTTACTGGCTAGTGTAGCATAATGTCTTCAGGGAATGTTTTCAAGTGGCTCTTCTGAGAAGCAGATCAAAAGAAGTTTCTCATCTATGAGTAAAGCATTTCCCTAAGTAGTTGGCATAGGCCTAATATATGATTTAACTTGTTGTACAAACACACCCTAACATAATTTACAGTATTGGTATTCAGCCTGTACCATATACTATCTAGATAGAGTTACCTTTAAAAAATAGCTTTGAAACCGGTAAGATGTTAAACCTAAAGCAGATACAGGTAGTCCTCGACTTACAACACTTCATTTAGCAACCATTCAAAGTTACAATGGCACTGAAAAAAGTAACTTATGATGGTTTTCCACATTTATGACTGTTGCAGTGTCTCCATGCTCACATGATCAAAATTTGGATGCTTGGCAACTGTTTCATATTTATGACTGTTGCTGTGTTCTGGGGTCATGTGATCATCTTTTGTAACGTTATGACAAGCAAAGCCAATGGGGAATCCAGGTTCGCTTAACAATCAGATTACTAACAACTGCAATGATTCACTTAACAACTGTGGCAAAAAAGGTTGTAAAATGGGGCAAAGCTCACTTAACAAATGTCTCAGCAACATGAATTTTGGGCTCAATCGCAGTCGTAAGTCAAGATATACTTGTATACTGTACCTGCTACATTGCTATGATTTCTCTGGTTCAATTTAAAGTGGTCATAAAGCTTCAAGCTACTCAAGGGACCATGTAGAACCAAGTTTCCTGCCCTCTTAAACTAGCATTACCTTATTTGGGTAGTTACCGGTATCTGTGCAAGAAACTAAATTGAGAGTCATATGAAACATGTTTTTTTTTTCTGCTAGCGGTTCTTTCTTTTGAAACTTTGCTTCAGCTGATATTTTAAGAGTCCAATTATCACAGACTTTCAAGCAAACTCCAAAATTTAAACAATTACCTTAATTTATAGTTGATTTAGGACTCTACTGAGTTCTATGGTGTTGTTGATAGTAGCTGGTTTCAGTTTTCTGTTTGCACCATAGTTCTGTTATGATAAATATAAGATTATCATATTCTTTGAAGTATTCATTGCTTTTTTAAAATCATCTTAATTGGCTGCAGTGAAAGAGCAATTTAAAAAATAAATAGCTGGAAACACTAAAAGTCTTGCTCTGGTAGAACTCAGTTCCTAATGAATGAACAGGCCTGGGTATGCAGAAGAATGTTATTTTCTTGGCTAATAATAAGGGAATGGTTTGCTACTGTATGTTTCAGGGATGCCTTTTCAGCTTCTCAGTCCAATCTAAACAGCTGGCATTTCCTGGTGGTCTCCTATCTAAATAGTAACATCCACTTACATCAATTTATGCCTTTCAGGCTTAAAGTCACTTACTACGATAATGCTAAAAAAAAGGCAAAATATCTTTAAACAAGCACTATGATGTAAATATTATTGCCAAATAGAGTAAATAGGGAAGAATACATGGAAATAAATCCCAGAGCTCAGCAAAGCCCTCTGTTTTTACTAGGCTGTTTGTTCAGCAACTGTGTTCACGCTCCTTTTTATAACCACACAGCCCCTTCCAAACTGAGATTACAGTGATTTTGGATTAGTCCCAAACCAAAACGCAACCTGTTAACAGCTCTGCCCATCATCTATTCCACCCCATCACAGCAATGCATTCCCGGTCTCTTAACTCGCCCAAGGCCAAAGAAGCAGGCAGCCATTTAAAAAAAAAATGGAAATTCAAGCAACGGGTATAAATACACACAGCCTACATACAGCAACCCTGAGAGAGAGAAAGAACTCAGCCTCTGGGGATTTTGTTTTTGTTCCTTGCTCCAGCTCAGGGCGGGGGCGGGAGAGAGGGGGGGGGGAGGCTCGGCTGAGCCACGTGACCTCCCCAGACCTATCGCACCGGAGCAGCCACGAAGAGGGATTGAGGCCTTAAAATAAAGAAAGCTGTGCAAAAAAGGACCGGCCGAAAGCCATTACTGTATTTCCTCCTCCGGAGCGGTCCAAAGGACTCCCTTCGCCTTTCTTTTCCACCTCCTTCGGAACCTCCGGGTCTCGGATTTTCCCCGCCGCGCGCACGCCTGATACAGAAGGGGCGGGGCTAACGGTGGCCCAATCGCCTCCCTCCCTTGCTTTACAGTGCAACACTTCAGAAGAGCCAGAGAAAGCTTTGGGAAGCGGGCGGCTCGGCTCGGCTCGGCTCGGGATTGTTTCCCCGGTTAGCGAAAAGGTGCGGTAGAAAAAACGGAAGGCGGGAGGGGGGAGGTTGGTTGGTTGGTTGGTTCTGCGCAAAGGTGGGCTACGGCCGGGTTCCTGGGCTAGTGCAACTGGTGGTGTGCGTGGTGGCGGAAGGTGTGTTGCAGCGCAGGGACCGGCTGAAGACAAAGCGGCTGCGCTTGGATGGGGAAAACAATGCCGTAGCTCGGCAACCTTGAACGCGCGGGCAGTCGGGCCTCTCTGCTTTCTGCTCGCCCGAAGCCCTAATAAGAATAATAATCCTTATTTATTGCTTTTTTAAAAAAATATTAAGCACCATTGCAATCGGGTTTTTAAAAGCACGATTTACGCTTGGTTTTGCCCGATTGCGCCTGCTTGGCGTTTTCCGAAAAAGGAGCATAGCGAGCAGACTTTGGCTTTTCCTATGGTCTTGGCATCTGCCGCGATTGTATGTATGTATGTATGTATGTATGTATGTATGTATGTATGTATGTATGTATGTATATCACTTGTTCTTAATTTTCTAAGCATGGATTGGATTGTGGATTGTGCCGGAGGTGCAAAGAAGTGAACGTGGACCAGCTGAGGACATCTGCTAATTTGTAATTTCTGACTCGGTCGGATGTTGAAAGCTACAGGGATCTTTTGTTAGTTGTTAGGAGACCTTTCCCGATTTGTTACCAGCGGCACAAAGAAAGAGCTTCTTTCTGATTTATCTATTCAGTGGCCTAAAAGTTAAATTCCAGTTTAATTTTAACGGGGATTTAAAAAATTAAAAAAACTTGGGAGAGCTGTGTAGATTACATCCAAATTTAAAAAAATGGCTTAGAAAATTAAGGATAAGTGATACACCTAAATAATTAAAGATGTAGGATATTTGCCGTTCACTTATTTTAAACTGTCCTTGATTGTATGCCATAATATCTCTAGTTGGATCTTGAACATACCTAAGCAATTTATGTTTTAGGTCTCTAATTGTGCACAGATTGTTCTGATCCTATGGAGACTAAATGACTGAATTACTGAAAATGACTGATTTTCAAATAGTTGTGTGAATTATAGTGTGAATCTTGTGTGTGTGGTTATGTGATTTGTGTGTTATTCTTGTTTGCCTTGTGCATCGTGTTCTTTTTAAGTATGATTTTTCTTTGTATTGGATGCTCATGTTAAAACATTCCAAATTGGTCCAGTAGGATGGTTGTGTGGGTGTGTGCTTACCACAGAGATAGGACTAATTGAATAGCTTATGTTGCCTTCAGAAGTCAGAGTCTTCCTTCACGACTTATCTGCTTGTAACCAGAATGATAAAAAATACTATTTTCAAATAAAAAATAAATGAAATCTTAAGTGCCAATGTATTCAACCTAGGTGTAAGTATGAGAGATGGTAGACAGGAGACAGGTAATTAAAAAAATACAATACATGTCAACTTATGAAAGTATCTGGGTTGACTTGCAATCAGTTGATCAAAACGGACGTAAATTTTCATATACAATTTTGGGGAACAGCTCTTTTCCCCCCCTCTGCAACAGGTAACAAATCTAGCAGTGATACCTAATTGCTATTGACATGCAAGATGATATTTTCTACCCAAAAATATATCTGTAAATAACTCAAGCTGATCCATTAAGCTGATTTAAAATAAACAGACTCTCTATTTTTAGATTGATGTTTAGGATTTATTAATTGATTTTTAGTGGTCTATGCACCCAATTATAAGTATTCCTGAATAAGAATTGGTTGGGGTTTTTTAAAAAACAACAACCTTGAACAAATTTCTCTAGTATAGAAAAAATAAATAAATGGAAAAGTTCTTTATTCTGTGTAAGGATGTAAAAATGAGATTGTATTGATTGCAATTATATAAATGTATTAATTTTTCGACTGATATTTTTATTGCTTTAGATTATGGGTGTCCAACCTTTTGGCTTGCCTAGGCCTCATTGAGTGAAAAGAAATTGTCATGGGCTGCATATAAAATATATAATATAAATCACATAATACTGTTAAAAGTATATGATCTTATGGGGCTTTGTTACTAGCCTCTGGGCCATGGGTTGAACACTGCTTTAGATTTCAAAAAAAGTTAATTGTTTCAAATTGCCTTACAGTGACTAATGTGGCTGGAACACAACATTTCAAATACTTTGTACTGTTAATATGTAAGATGCTGAGTTAGTCTTATGCAGTAGTTGATGACCTCTCCCAGTCTGACAGTGGTATGACTAACCCTGAAAAGCATACCTTACGATGCACATTTTCTTTTCCAATATTGCTTTTCAGAATTAAAGCAAAAAAGATGAATGTTGGGGTTGCTCACAGCGAAGTCAATCCCAACACGAGGGTCATGAACAGTCGAGGAATGTGGCTCACGTACACCCTTGGAGTTGGTTTGCTTCATATTGTCTTGCTCAGCATTCCTTTCTTCAGTGTTCCAGTGGCTTGGACCTTAACCAATATTATTCATAATTTGGTGAGCATCCTGAACTGCAGAAGAATTGGTTGCATATATTGCATATATCAGATTGCATATATCTGTCCACCTTAAGCAACTCTGGGTGGTTCCCAATTATAATAATAATTATTATGTTATAATAATTATATAATTAAATGGTTGGTTGGACTGTCAACCAGATGTTTACATTGGATTTGGCATTTTTATCTACATATCGATTCCTTCCTAGGGACCTAGAGTAGGCAGATGTTGTTTGATACTATTAAAGATAATTGTAGGAAGTAAGCTGTTCCAATTAAAGCTGCCAATTGCAATTGACTGGTGTTGATTTTGTCAATATTCAGAATGATATTTTGGTATTTTGCTGGTATTCAAATGCTGCGTCAGATGTTTTGGGATTGCACCCCAGGCACCTATTAATATTGGTACTATCTTTGCTTTCTTTTGTTATAATTATCATTGTAAAGGTATACAATCATAATTAGAATGCAGAGCATTTTAAAGAAACAATAAAAAAAACTAAGAAAACAAACTAGAATACATTCCATCCAGCAGCCAGTAACACAGCTGGAGAACAACACCAGAAAAGTCAGGCAGAAAATAATAATCAAGGAACTGTCATGGAGGAAACTACACCTCCACCAAAAACTGGCAGGACAAGCTATGATATATAAACAGGCAGCAAACCCCACGTTCACTTGATGATAGTTATTTATTTTATTTATTCAACTTCTATAGGAGCCCAACTCAACCAAGTGATTCTTACGTAGTTGGGTAGCAAACATCTGCAAGCAAACAAATAGGCTCAAAGAGCACCAAGAACTCCATAGCTCAATCCTGAGCTGTACAGCTAGTCTTTGATTTATGTCCACAATTGAGCCCAAAATTTCCATTGTTAAGCAAGACAGTTGTTAAGTGAGGTTTGCCTCATTTTACGACCTTTCTTGCCACAGTTGTTAAGTGAATCACCAGTCATTAAGTTAGTAAGACAGTTGTAAAGTGAATCTAGCTTCCCCATTGACTTTGCTTGTCAGAAGGTCTCAAAAGATGATCACATGACCCCAGGACCCTGCAACCATCATAAATACGAACCGGTTGCCAAGCATCTGAATTTTGATCACGTAACTGAGAGGATCTGCAACAGTTGTAAGTGTGAAAAATTGTCATAAGTCACTTTTTTCAGTGCCATTGTAGCTTTGACTGGTCATTAAATGAAAGATTGTAAGGCAAGGACTACCTGTACATAATATTACACTGTTATCTTCTAATTACAAGAGAGCCACTTAGGTGTAGTGGCTAAGGTGCTAGGTTAGAAACAGGTATGAATTTCAGTCCACCTGAAGTAAGGTGATTTGGGCCAGTGACTTTCTCAGCTCAAAACCACCTCACAGAGTTGTTATATGGAAAACAAGAGGAGGGAATATTATATATACTCTGCTTTGTGTTAGACAAAATTAAAGGTAGGATAAAAATCTAACAAAATTAGTTTGCTATAGCAATAATAGCCATTGTCTTAAACTAACAGTAATGGGCAAATATTAACAAAGTTAATATCATTTCACTCTAAAATATATTAAGGATGACCAGTTGTATCTATATTGCTGATAACCAACGGAATAGAAAGTTAATCAGATTTCCATTCTCGATTATGACTTAAGAGTTGAAAATTTCCTGGTGATTAAAGCATGAGTTTTGATCAAATCACCCATTTTGGATTCAAATAGGATGGAGAGCCTATTAGGACGTTGTTTACTTATAGTTCCCAGTAATCACAATACCAGTAATGTCCATGGGAAAGGTTATTCATCTGTTGCAATCCTGTTGCATCTAGAAAGCCTTAAGCTTTCCACTCCTGAATTAGTGTATGAAACTTGGCACAAACATGCACCTTATACTTAAGCACATATTTAATCATATTTCTCTGGCATTGGACCAGTTGTACACAAATAATGCCTCCTTGAATGACTGGCAGTTTGTTTTAAAGTGAGGGGGGAAGCATATCTCATAAAGTTTAAGTAGGTAGCTACCCTGTAATGCCCCATTGTCTCTACATTTGATTGTGAGATCAATCGCTATACTTCAACTTTTTTTTTTGTCACAGATTGAGTTTGCAAACTGTTCTCTCTGTATTTTAATAAAACATGAACAAATTCACATAAACTTTGTTAGTCTTATGAAATTGAAAGCAAGAATCATTGGCTTCATGGGACTTTGTCTTCTGGCTTTACTGAAACAAGTTGCTAGGTGAAGTAGAAATAACTGAAATCTGGGCCGGAATAAAATGTCTAATTGGGTTAATCTTTCTATGGGCAACTTCATTTTAGTATTCTTGCTCAAATATTTATTAATCTATTGGCAAATCACAGAACATATTTTAAAAGTCTAGTGCTTAATGTTTCAGATCCTTCACTCAGATTGCGTGTATTATGTTAATAATGAAGCATAGCTAACATGGCTTATGTTTTGGATGGGTTTGTTTTGCCTTTGCAGGGAATGTATGTATTTTTGCATGCAGTAAAAGGAACACCTTTTGAAACACCTGACCAAGGTAAAGCAAGATTGCTGACACACTGGGAACAGCTGGATTATGGCGTACAGTTTACATCTTCACGAAAATTCTTCACAATCTCACCAATAATTTTGTAAGTTTTGAAAATTCGACCCTAACTGTTTTAACGCTCTGCAGATTGAAAACAAATATTTTATTTGGTGTGGCATTAATATTGCAGTGAGCCAATCAGTATCTAAACTCTGCAAATTATTTAGAATCATTATGTTCTATTATTCATGTACCTCTGAATTGGTATGCTTTTAAAGGGAAGAAAAATATGTTTCTGTAAACAGTACTTTGGAATTTTTATAATGGAAGTGACAGCTTCATGCACAGTAATTTGCAGAGATTTACAGAGAAGTATATTGCAGAATTGAAATAGGTAGGGTTTTTTTAAACCGGCATTAATTCAAAACAAATGTGACATTTCAAAAATAGTTTGCAATTTTCTGTTGAATTCAAAATGCCACCACCTAATCTTCCATTATTTTACAAATAACATTTCTCCAATTAACTAAAACTTAATATAGATAATTAATGTTATATATCTCAAATCATGAACATCTCATGAAAATTGCCTTCTGCTGGGGTGAGGGAAGAGAGCCAAGGATATCCAAAGCCTAGATAAGGGGTAGAACCAATCTATTTTCTCCAAGTACATTTCAATGCTGCAATTAAAACAGAAACTCTGGACTCTTTTGCTTCTTTCATAGAACATATATAGACTATACAGCCTTAGCATCTCATGAAAATCGCCTTCTGCTGGGGTGAGGGAAGAGAGCCAAGCATATCCAAAGCCTAGATAAGGGGTAGAAGTGAAAATCAAGGGACATTGGCAGCTACTTGGGAGAGAATAAAGGAAAGGTACTATGAAAATGGAACAGGTTGGGTGAAGGGATTTGTCATATCAAGAGCTGCAGAAGAAAGGGGTGTGACATGCCTCAGTCCCTCAACATTTGTTCTGCCGGGTACAATCCAAAACATTCCAGATTTTGATTGATTTTACCAAACTTTGGCAGAACCACTGGAGTTTAGTGGTTTGATGGGGGTTGAAAACAACACCTTTCTCATTTTTTTGTACACTCCTCAAAATACATTGCCACCAAAATGGGCAAATTGACTCATCCTTTTTCCAATACAAGCAACTAAGTGCAGGTAGTCCTCAATGTATGACCACCGTTGAGTCCAAAATGTATGTTGTTAAGTGAGACCATTGTTAAATGAGTTTTGCCCCATTTAACAACCTTTCTTGCCACAGTTGTTAGGTGAATCACTACCATTGTTAAGTTAGTAAGATGGTTGTTAAGTGAATTTGGCTTCCCCATTGACTTTGCTTGTCAGAAGGTCACAAAAGGGGATCGCATGACTCCCGAGACATTGCAACAACCATCAGAAATATGAACCGGTTGCCCACCATCCAAATTGTGTTCATATGACCTTGAGGATGTTGCAATGGTTGTAAGTGTGAAAAATGGTCATAAGTGACTTTTTTCAGTGCCGTTGTAACATTGAATGGTTGTAACACTGAATGGTTGTAAGTCAAAGACTACCAGTATCATAAGCAAGGTTATTCCTAATCAGAGATGAAATAATTAGTTACATAAAAAGAAAGAAGACATTTTTCTTTATTTTGAAATAATGCATTTTGCTCTTCTTTAAATTTTAACGTACTCATTCTGATATTCTGTTTCTGTTTCTTTTCTTTTCAATGCAGGTATTTCTTGGCAAGCTTCTACACCAAATACGACCCAACACATTTCATTCTGAACACCTCTTCTCTCTTGAGCGTGCTTATTCCCAAACTGCCACAGCTGCATGGAGTTAGGATCTTTGGAATCAACAAATATTAAGCAGGAGGTGGGCAGTATGAGAATTCTGATCAAAATATGGCCTGGTTTGATCCTTGTCCTTGACAGAAGGAACAGCCTATACTATGTATTATTAGATAAGTTTCACATCTCTTTGAAGACTCTAGTGCAAAGATGCTGATGCTGTTCTTTACAGGAGAATCAGAGACCATCAGAAGATATACTGATCTTGAAGAGTCATCTTTGGAGCACAGGTTTTTTGTAAATAGCTGGGCAGGCCTAGCTTTCCTAAGGTAAACAGTATTGACTGGAAATAGGCTGAAGTAACAAGAGAAGCGAAAAGGGATACGAAACATTGTATTGACTCACTGTTGTAATCTTTTACAAGTAAGTCAGCAACAGTAAGGAAGGAGTAGAGGGGAGGAAATAGCGCAATTCTTTGCTTTACAGACTTCAATCAGTTATCATTTGGGGTCATTTGTTTGTTTGGCTAATTTGAGGGCACAATTTTTCTACCCAGCTTGAGGTGTTATAAAGTTAATGAGTTGCTGTGATTTTCATGCCTTATCTATTCATGAGTCTTTTAATCAGAGTGACCTTTCCAGTGTAAGATCTTTGAACTCCAGAGAATGACATGTCAACTTTTCAGGGGTTTTATATACAATTAAACTGATTGGTATCATACGACTTGTTTTCCAGAAGTAGGTGGTTTTTCTCATTCCACTGTATCTGAAAAAAACTTTCCTCATAAAAAGAAAATTCCTAGTCTCAGAAATAGCAAGCTACTAAATAGACTGGAATCTCTGGCCTATTAGTTCACAATGAGAGCTGTAATCTGTTAGGAAAATTCTAGGAAAGGTAGTAATTTTGAATAGAAACTTTATGTAACAAGAATTTCAAACATCAAGCAGAGCATAACTTGTTCTCATTGTGGAGCAGATTTGAAAATGATTTGGAAGAAGTACTTTGGGCCTCATAGAAATGCAGCACTTCACTTTTCATTATATAGTAATCTGAGTATTCCAAAGCAAGACTAAAATAAATGCCTCTGCTTTATGGAATCCGCTCATTAAATTTAATGTGACTTATAAAGTGATCCATGGGGGAGCAGTATAGAAGGATGAACAGCTTTCACAGATAATGGAGAAATAGTGTGTTTGACTGAGGTCTGCTAATGCTTCCTCCGGATCGTTTTCAAAGCATGCACAATCCAATCACTGTTTCTGCATCGAAAAGAATTTAGTACCGTGTTTCCCTGAAAATAAGACTGTCTTATATTTTTTTTGAACCCTGAAATAAGCGCTTGACCTTATTGCCATGCGCTCAACAGCCCGATTGGGCTTATTATCAGGAGATGTCTTATTTTGGGGGAAACAGGGTAGGAATTCAACACAGAATTGTGTTTTATATCTAGCATTGTTGAGTTTTGGAGCCTTTTAAGGTCCTAGTTTCGAAAATGTTCGATCTTGCCTAATGTTGACAGCAGAAAAATAATGGGTTATTGAACATGATTAAACTAACCAGTAGTAGCTCTGCTTAGCTGCTTCTCTACCCACAAAGACCCTTGAAGTTAGTGCAGTGGTGATTATGTCCTCCAAGTAAGAACTGGCTTCTTTCAGGTAATTAGTTTCTCCCTGACCTTGCTTTCTTGAAAAATATCTTTTTAAAATATTCATGTTTTATAATAATAAACTGAATGACTTTGAACTGATCATATGTATGAGTCACTGTAAGTATAGTTCACTGTGATAAACAGCACTGTACAAATTGCTGTTAAACTCTGTAAATAGAATTAGTGATAATGTAGCAATTGTATTTTATTAATTGTATGCAGAACTGAGTAAGAAGCCTTTTCAATAGTTATATAAGACATTGATGTGGTAGGTTAACCCCCCCCCCTTCACCAGTCTACGGTAGTACATGATTTTTATGCTTTACTCCAATTAAAATAATTTGTCCTGAAAAAAAAATGAATTTATTTTAAAATCGAACGATGAAATAATTTTATTCAATGAGATTTTAAAGCAGGTTATACAGCACTTAAGAAATACCTAATGTATCAAATCATGCTTGCCTCTTATGGGAGTTATGTATCTGAAATGCAGTTCCTTGACTCCCATTTATTTCTGTTCCAAGCTCTGAATAATGAAATATTTCCTCAGTAAAAACTGAATTCTGCTAACTCAAACCTAGCATTTATTGAGGGGATTGGATTATTACATAGCTGTACATAATATAACTCCATTGAAGGTCTACTCATTTTTGGATGACTTGCAATACCAAAGTACTAAAATTATCATGGAATCCATAGCAGAGTGGAAAATACAGTAGTTCTCCAGATATTGTTGAAGATGTTCATTAGGAGTACGGTACCTATGGTAGTGCAGGGGTGTCAAACTGGCGGCCCATGGGCCAGATGCATCACATGCAGGCCACGCCCACCCATTCTGCGAAGGGAAAAACATCGCAAAATGTCATGTGACGGCAACGTGATGCCATGAGTTTGACACCCGTGACTTAGTGTGACCTAGTATGTGTCACAGGACCTTGTGTTCTCTTTTACCCCATTGATACATCCTATTAATAGAACATTTTTTTATCAAGTTTGCTATGAAAATTCTGTTCTTTAGGCCAGATGGATGGGCCATGGCTTGTTCAGAACCAGGCCGCGCAGGTGGCGGGCACATGCAGACACACACACAAAGTTCCCCTTGAACAAGCAGTAGCCACTTGCTCTTGCACATGAACCTCCTCGTGTGAATGGTGGCCCTCATGCACTTGAGTGCAAAGTTCCCTCCATTCATGTGTCCACCACTCACACAAATGGGGCTGTGCATGCTTGTGTGCATCCACGTGCTATTCACAAGGAACTCCCCTCCCCCCACACCAAGCAGCCAAGCAGGTTGGGGACTGCTGCTTTAGGCCATTCTTTTTTCTATAACAAACATGTCCAGGCTCATAGCTCTTAACTCAGTAATAACATGATAAATCATCATATAATATTTAGATGTTTTAATATATAGTCCTTTCTTGGATTAAAGGAATCATTGTTTTGAATAATTTCCCAAAGGACCCATTTTCTAATTAACTTCTTAATAATTCCATAGATAAATTTGCTTCAAGGTGCAGCGAACGGCTAAATAAAAATAAATATTGTAGAAAGAGCCAGTCCTGATACTTTGCCAGATATGAAATTTTTAAATAGATATTATTATTCAGAAGTGGTTTCACAACAAGAATACAGGTGGTTCTTGAGTTAACAACTATTCATTTAGTGACCATATGGACCTACAATGGCATTGAAAAGGTGTCCTGTGATTGGTCCTTGCACTTAGAACTGTCACAGTGTCCCCACATTCATGTAATCAAAATTCAAGTACTTGGCTACCAACATATTTATGACGGTTGCAAGATCTTGGTGTAATGCGATCATAATTTCTTACGAGTGCTTCTGATGAGCCAAGTCTAGTATAAGGGATGCCAGATTTGCTTGACTGCAGCGAAAAAGTCATAAAATTGAGTGTGAAATTACTTAATATCTGCATCACTTAGTGACAGAGGTTCCAGTTAATTATGGCCGTAAGTTGAGGACTATCTGTATAATAGCAATCAATTATATCTGCAGCAGAAAAAACAATTTGGACATCAGATTTTAGTACAAGTGTGGACAAAAAAGGACAAGAGTTCTAATATTCTGTTTCATGTATAGTTGGCAGACATCAATGGAATTAAATTGTAATATTTTGAATAAAACATGAATGGATTTCTAATGATTGCATTTTGTTAATAAAAAGCAATTAGATACCTATTAACAATATAGGTCATCAACTTAAAACTGGTCATTTAGCTTCATTTAGTGATTGAAGTTATGAATTTAACTTGGAATATTGCAGGCTGGCCAGCACCATCAAAAGACCAACCTTGTTTTGATTATCTGTGACAATTTGATATTCTTTTCCTCCAGGAAACCTTTGCTTTTCCGCGTTTAAAAAACTGCTCAGATCAACACCACTTGGGGTGCATTGTAGTTTTGATCTTTACTTGTCTAGATAAATAGCACCGATAACAATTGGTGTGAATTAATTGCTAGGATGGAATCAAATGACCAAGTATTATTTTATCAATTCAAGATTTTCTACAAGGAGAATGTCATAGAGGAACCTTTGTATATAAGAGAATATAAGGATTCAAAATCTAACTTGGTTATATGCCAGATGCTATCATAGGAATGCTCATTTGGAGCACTTAATGGTTCTGTGGAAAGAAACCACAGGGCAGCTTTACCGTTTATAAATCCTATTTTATACTTACAAACTTTATCTCTATCAACCCAGCTAGTTGTTACTTATTAAACAGACCAGTTTAATATAATATGAAAGTGCTGGAGATTCTAATCATTTTGGATAATACAATGCAATCACGCATAATGATTGCACGCATAATGGCTTAGTGTAAATTAAATCACTTAAATTTTAAAAGACGTCAATTGAATAAAACGTGGATCTGTAAAACGTGGTAGCTATAGAACAGTCTCGTTCACCAACACAGCTGGCCCTTATTGTTGAAAACATTACAATAGCAGATCACAGACCACTACAAGAGTGGAAGGGGAAATCGAAGTTATCGCATCCACAACAAATCTTGCTTTGTGCGTCTTGGCTCCCCGGCCATTAAAAAAACAAAACAAACATGCAAGCGTCGCCTACAAGTATGCATCGAAAATGACTATGCGTGGAACGTCCCCATAACTGCCCAATTCTTTTTTGTTGTGGCTTCGTTCGAAAAGACGTATCTAATTCCATCAAAGGTCATCGTTAATTTTACTGCGCCCTCTCCCCTTCTTCAAAGCAAGCGTCCTATGAGATGCAAGCGATCTGCACTCCGTTCACTTCCGCGTCCACCAAACCGGAAATGTAGGGGGTTTGCTACTCTTAATCACCCTCTTTACCCTTGCCACCTTCTTCTGAAGCTAAGAGGTTCCCCCCCCCCGTTCCGGCTTGCTTGTAATTCAATTGGCCGTCGTCCCTCACGTGACCATGGCTTTTCCGCGGCTCGGGCCATCTCCCCGTCTGCACATCGCCGGGGCCGAAGGGGGGAAAAAAATCTTCCGTGGAGGCTGTACAATGGGCGGGTGCCCCAAGGGTGAGGTGATATGCAGGGGGTGGGGGCGGGCGGAGGAGGGCATTCGGCCGAGAAAGACTTTGGAAACAGAGCAAATGCTTTAGATGCTAGGGATGCCACTCTTGCTAATGTAACCTTATTCCTTAGAACTCCCGCGGAAAGAAATAACATTAAACTGAATGTAGGTTGAAATCCAGAAACCACGTGCTGGAGAATCTGCACTGCACCCTAGCATGTGCTTCCAATCCTGGTGCGATCAAACCCTGCCTTATTTATTTTAATATGAATGATGCAAGATAATTCCATCTCAAATGTGCCCTGGGGGGGCGGGGGGAAAGGCGTTTCTTTCCGCGCTTCTTTAATGACAGCTGCATGAGTGCATTCTCTCTATTCAGTATCATGCTAATTTCATGTACAACTTCCCACATAAACGTATCTTGAAATGTACAACATACAGTAAAAAACTAAATAAATTAGAAATTGTATATACAAGAGAAAAGGGAAACAAAAGCAGAAACAAAAAAAATAAGATATTTGTACAAAAAGAACTGAGTGAAGAAAAAAAATATTCAACAAAGATTGTTAACAGTAAGCTCCTTACACAGTCCACAGTTTCTACAGTCCACAGTATAGAGGTTACTCATGAGAAGATCTTATGAGTGACTGTCATTAGATCAGGCCTTTGAAATGACCATTTTTATTTCATTATGGACTAGGGCACCCCCTGTTGAAGAAGAAAGTGCAATTTACTGTGGTACGTTATTGCCTGAATTAATATCATTTCGTGACTGAAGGTAATGTCATTTCTTCATCAGTAATCTTTAAGTGGCCTGCAGCATCCCCCCAAAGTCACCATGCCCTGTAGAATAACCTGGTTATCTACGGGACCGCCTACTACCACCAACAGCCTCCCACCGACCAGTACGCTCCCACAGAGAAGGGCTCCTCCAGGTGCCGTCGGCCAAACAATGTCGGCTGTCGGCCCCTAGGGGGACAGCCTTCTCTGTGGGGGCACCGACGATCTGGAATGAGCTCCCCCCAGAGATACGGAGGATCCCGGATCTGCGCACCTTCCGCCGCGAGTTGAAGACGCTTTTATTTCATCAAGCGGGCCTCGCCTAAATCTTCTCCCTTTTAAATGTAAATTTTAAATTTTTAATGTATTTTAAAATTAGGGGTATTTTAAATTATGGGTATTAATTCAGCCAACTTTATTTAATTCATTTTTATTCGATTTTAAATTTTGTATATTTATGTGTTTTATTTCATGGCTGTACACCGCCCTGAGTCCTTCGGGAGTAGGGCGGTATAGAAATTCGATAAATAAAATAAATAAATAAATAAATAACAAGACCAGGCTTTATAACGTTACAATGCATGGGCAACACAGCGGCTCTGTCTTCTAAGGCTAGGGTTCTTCTAGCTTCACTGCAATGTATTGAACAGAGGTGGATATTTTGTAGAGCACATCAAGTGTCCCTTTTCAAAGCACAGAGGCAGCCATATCCTCTAGACAGTTTACTGCTTTCCCAGGTGTGCATATGCAGAACAAACAAGATTTCCACTGGGACTGTTAGTAAAGTGAAATGGTCATACGTGTATATGTACCAGGTGATTGCCAGGGAAAGTCTTAGAATAGAATAGAGCTAGAAGGAACTTTGGAGGTTTTTTTTTAATAACAACATTTCCAGAGAATGCAGCAACCTCAGCACTTGAAAGAAGATTCTTCATTCTTATCAAAGGAGCATGATGGCTCATTTGGTTAGGATGCTGGTTTGACAAGCAGCAAACCTGTGTTTGAGACCCCAGTGCTTCCATGGTGTGAGGTGAGCTTCTGTTCTTTGCTCCAGCTGCTTTCATGTCCAGGGGACATGAAAGGAGCCCAATTAGGCATCCTCCAGACAATGGTGACGTCACTGGTTAATTCAACCTGGAAGTGCCTCGGTGCTTCTGAAACAAGTGTGATGAGATTCTTAGCAACACATTTCTCAGTGAGTGCCTACCAATGCTATTAATAGTCATCAGGGGGAATAGTTTTATTAATCTTTAATAATAAGAGTA